GCTGCTCCCCTCAGCAGTGTACTTCGTCGATCTGCCTGTTCTGTTCCCCACTCTGTCTCTGGTGAAGCCTCTCACTGCCCCTGAGCCTCTGGCCTGCACCCTAGTTCTGTATGCACAAATAAATAAATCTTTTTAAAAAAATTAATATAAATCTGTGGTTTTTCAAGTCAGCATAATGTACACTCTGCTTTTCCCCTCTTACTATGCTATCTTTTGGAACTATTCTTATAGTTCCTAAAATTCAGATTAGAAGATTTTAACTTTCTACACAAAATTTTCTGGAATGCACAAGAACTTGACTTAAGAATAGGGTAAAGTATAAAATAACAATAGACATTAAATAAAGTATCTTAGATAATCCATTTCAAAATTGAGCAGATAAGCTGTGCTGTCTAAGATCAGTACCTTGTTTTGACAGTTGTAGCAAAGAGTTGTAAATGTCATGGCAATCTCTTTCTCTGGGAACAATAAAATGCACAATCCTGAAGTTCTTGCACTGAATTACAAGTGGACATCCAGAAGTGGTCAAAGCCAGTTTCTCCACAGAAGCAATATGGTGGTGCAATATCTATAGCATGGCAAAGCAAAAAAATTTGATCATCATTATGAAAAGCACTAGGTATTGTATTCTCTGCAAAAATGTTAGAAATGCCCTCCTGAAAGTCTAAAATGTTATATGCTATAGTTAAATTATTCTTAATTCACATATTTAATAAAGCTGAAAATGCATGTATCTAAAACCAGATCATTTTACCCCCAAGAAATACCTGAAAAACTCTGAATATATACAGGAAAAAAAATACACACACACACACACGTATATAAAAAATGCCCATTACTCATTATTTATGTTAGTAGGAAATAAGAAAAAAAAATAATTTGTTACTACAACTTGATACAAAAATACTATAGGATATACCATTTGACCTGTTAACATGTACATATATTATTTAGATTAAAAAGAAATTTTTAAAAAGACAAATAACTATTATAAACCAATGTTACCTCAATTAAGAAAAAAAAGTAGTTTGTAATTATTTATGTAGATTAAAAGACTTGCTGGTTATTTGCAAAATAATTCCATATTCCACATGATATTATTTTGTTAGAAGGGAGGGTAGAAATGATGTAGAGACTCTAAAAAATGTTCAATTGAGATAGGTAACCAGTAATTAAAATTCTTTGCTGATGTTCAAAATAAAACACAGCAATAAGCCAAGTTCATGATTACAAGTATTTTAAACAGTAAGCAGAGGAGGTACTCCTTACCCAGGTTTCTTTCTGGTGAGAGTCTATAAATAAAAGATGTGTAGCAGTAAGATACAATGTTCCTGTTAATGATTTGTTGCTGGTAGCGAATCTGTCAAGTAATTTCACTTGTTCAACCTAAAAAACAGAAGATGTTATTTCTCATTAAAAAAGTAGTATAAACTTTTTTTCTGTTATCCCAAAACTTTAAAATTACCACTTTCAATTTTTTTCCCCTATTAAAAACTATTAGTTCATTTAATATTGAACATTGTTTCATGTATCTTTTGGGGGGAATATATATATACATACATATATATGTATGTGTGTGTGCATATATATATATATATATATATATATATAAACTCCCACAAACAACATGGGTACTACTTACCATTACAATGGTAACCAATAGAAAAGAACTCTGTAAAAAATACTAACACAAATATTGAGAATAGAATGAAGGGGTGTGATATAAATAAGCAAAAAACATTTCTCATATCCCAGTCATTATATTTTTTAAAGTAATTACTCAAGTAAGACATATATAAGGTTATTGTCTAGAGTTATAGAAGTAAACTACCAGAAATGTTAAATCACTTAACAATTAAATGGCTGCAAAACTCCCCTTAATCTTTAGTCTCCTCACCTCTCCATCAAGGACATTGCTTTGTGTTCAGCTGGGTTTTTTTTTTTAAAGATTTATTTATTTGTGCATACAGAACTGGGGTACAGGCCAGAGGCTCAGGGGCGGTGAGAGGCTTCACCAGAGACAGAGTGGGGAACAGAACAGGCAGATCGACGAAGTCCACTGCTGAGGGGAGCAGCGGGCAGGTCAGGAGAGGTCTGCCGCGCCAAGTGGTCACCTCCGGGGCAGGCGGGGATCAAACTCATGCTGAAGTGGCTTTAGGTTCTTAGTGCTGTGCTTTAACCCACTGCGCCACCAGGGAGGGCCTCAGCTCTGTTTTTATTCATACTGTTCTCCCTTGCCCCAAAATGGTCTCTTCCATCTAGCTAACTGCAGGGATTCTGCCAATCTTTCTGATAAATATTCTATCATCACAGGAAATCAATTAGTTACTGAAAGCCTATTTTTATATTTCTTCCAGGCTCTGAATTCCCAGCATAGATTATGCCATATGCTGCTTCTGCCTCCTCTGTGGTTGAAGCAGTGAAGTGCGTAGTACATCTTTATTAATTGCAGATAGGCAGCACATGTGTGCACGCATACACAGGGTTACCACTGATGAGTGAATTGGTGAGGAATGTGTAAGAGAATACAGTTATGAAAAGGATATTTGTGGTGGGAAAACAAGTAAAATAATAATTGCGAGTTAAAAAATTTTAACTCACAATGATTTTATGAATTTTAATTCCAAAGTAATCAATAACTACCACTTAAAATGGAGTTTGGCTTAAAGCAGAGTGTTTAAAAAGTTAAAATTTAAACACAAATTTAAAATATTTTTGATAAAAGATGTATCTGCATGGACAAAACAATAGAAACACTTTCCTCTGAGAACTCAGAGAATCACTCTAATTTATATGTCTCAGTTCTGACAGTTATTTGACATAGCAGATCATCTCACACAGTTTTTGTTTTTTTTTTTAAGATTTATTTATTTGTGCATACAGAACTGGGGTACAGGCCAGAGGCTCGGGGTGGTGGGAGGCTTCACCAGAGACAGAATGGGAAGCAGAACAGGCAGATCGACCAAATACACTGCTGAGCAGCGGGCGGGTCAGGAGAGATCTGCCACGCCCTGTGGTCACCTCTGGGGCAGGCGGGAATCGAACTCATGGGGAAGTGGCTTTAGCTTCTCAGTGCTGTGCTTTAACCCGCTGCACCACCTGGGAGGGCCATCACACACTGTTTTTTAAAAGAATAAGAAAACTTCCTTCTTACACACTGAATAAAGATTCACTTAAAGGTCAACATTTATTTCATTATTAAGGACCATTTCTTCTTTGATAAAATCTAACTTCAATTAAGCCATACACTTCAAATCAAAAATGAAATTTACTACAATGTTACAGCAATTCCACCCCTAGGAATGTACCTGAGGAATGCAAAAACACTAATTCAAAGGGACATATGCATAATGGACACAGGTTCACAGTAGCACTATCAACACAGCTAAGTTATGGGAACAATCTAAGAATGCAACCAGATGAGTGGATTAAGAATAAGTAGCATGGTCTCTGTCTGGTGGTGCAACAGGTTAAAGTTCCACATTATAAAGCTCTCCAAAGCCACTGCAGCACAAGTTCGATTCCCCTCCAGGGGCGGACCCACATGGCAGAGCAGAGCTCTCCTGACCCACCCACTGCTCCCCTCAGCAGTGTATTTCAGTAACTCTGCCTGTTCTGCTCCCCACTCTGTCTATGGTGAATCTTTTCACCCACCACACCTCTAAACTGTACCCCAGTTCTGTAAGCATAAATATATCTTTAAAAAAAAAGTAGCATATATGTACAATGGGATATGATTCAAGCTATTTTTTTTAAACAATAGTTTATTTTCACATCATTTTGTACCTCTTTCCATCTCAGTTGTAACCCCCACCCCTCTGGCTGCCCATCACCAAATTACCCATGTGCCATCACCATAGTCCAGGGCGCTCCCTTCTCCAACCGTTTTTGATCCATTTCCCCACTCCACCCCTGGGGAAATGTCTCTGTTATATATGATTCAGCTGTTTGTTTGTTTTTTTTTTTTTAAATAAAATCTTACCATTCTCAAAAACATGGATGGTGCTGGAGGGAATTATGCTAAGCAAATAAATCAGAAGATTTCACTCACATTGGAATATAAACAAAACAAAGGAACAGATAAAACTAAACTAATGCAAACCCTAGAAATCTAATTGAGGTTACCAAAAGAGGAAGGACACTGGTGGAGGATCATAAGTACTTTGGTGGTGGGTGCGACATTAGAATATACATCTGAAGAGGAGTGAACCTATACCCTGAATGACGTTCAGTGAATCAGCATTACCTCAAAAATACATTTAAAAAAAACCACTTAAATTTCAACATATTTAAGACAGTGGGGTCAACTACTATTTACTCCTCCTTCAACTGCATTAGACTTGGCTGTAAAGACATTACAGTCAACCAACACCAACATCATATAAATCTCACCTGCCTTATTTCCTGACACAATTAAAACTAAGTGTTAGTGGTTCTAAAGAAGAGAATTAATAATACATAGAAATAAAGGTTACCCTAAAGGCTTAACACTACTGAAGCTAACAATCTGTATTAGCTTCATTTTGTCTATAGCTACTCAGAAGATATAAACATACACTCACACACATATAAGATTATATATAAGTGTGTATGTAAGACTATATAAAAATAAAGATAAGTCATATATATATACATACACATGCACTTTTCAAGTAATTTAAAAGAGGGGGTCAGATTTTATTACCGTTTTTAATTAAATGTTATTTAATTAATTTTTTTTAAAACATTCCACATGAGTGTTTTAATCTGGAGTTTTAAACATCTCTTGTGCTCCAGTCATATCCTTATAATTTCTCAACTAAGCATGCAAACCTTATACATAATTATCTACATGCAGAACAACCATACCACTTCTCATTTCAATTCTAACCCTCTCTGCCCACCCCCAATTCATGACTTAGTCATCTGGGCTCCAATCTTAATAATCAATCTTATCTACTGTCACTATTTTACCTTATATGTAATGGCTCCCCAAACTACATCCTAGCTCTGATCTCTTACAAGTTCATGTTGTCATATATATACATGCCTATATATATACCTATATATATATGTATGTATGTAATATATTATAAATAAAATAACAATTTCTGACAGGTGTAGAGATCATAATACAGGCCTGGTACTATAAGCCCTTAACATATATTATTTTTTTAAAGTTTCATAACTCCTGTGTGGTAGGTACTATTACTATCCACAGAGTAGCTGAGATTAATTAAACGTCCCCACGTCACATAGCTAGTTAACAGCAGTTAGTAAGTTGTATAGTATAACCCTATGCCATTGTGCTAAATACTTTTTGAAACAAAGGAAATCTGATCTTTGCTAAAATTGTCAGCAAATTTCAAGTCACAGAATTTCAAATCACTTCATCAATTTCTATTTCTAAACAGCAACTAACACTTCATATTTCTCCTTTTCATGAAAGAACTGAAAGTATTTAACAGATGTTGCTATAGATATTATTCCTAGTATCTTCTTGGAAATGTTTTAAACTAGATATTTAGGAAGCAACTACAACCTCAGGTCACTAGCATGAGAGAAGTACAGAAATAGTGTTCTTTAACTATAGTTATCACCACAGGGAAAAGAGAAATGGGCTTGGGGAAAAACGTATGACAAGAAAGAATAAACACAGAAGCAAATGGAGCAGAATGAAAAGAACTGGAGGGTGTGGTCACTATGGTAAAGGACGACAGGTGCCAATTTAACTGTTGCCAACTATGGGATTGTACCAAAAGGCATCCTAATGGGGTCAACAGGAGTTGGAATTTCAGCTGACTACAAAGTGGGAAGTGAAAAACACAGGGACTCACACAGACTCAATCACATTCAGAAAATGCAGACACCTAACTACCCCACAAGGGGATAGTGGTCTCTGGAACAGAGAGGGAACAATAGCTCCCTCAACGTCATGTGACTAACTTGTTGAACAACTACATGGCAATGGCTACTAGAGCTGCTAAATGCACTATCACAGCTTCTCTGATCTGTTGTGTTGTGCTTCCTCCCTATAGCTAGACACCCTTGCGTCATTCAGAATCATTATTCCACACTCCACAGCACTGAATCTTGCCAAGAACTAGCTAACAAAAAATAAAGAGCATCAAATTGACTTCACGAAGTGGAAGTAAACATCAAAAGGACAGCTACTTATCTACTTTAATGAATCATATACCACCAGTGGCTGGCTATATAAATCACCAAATGAAACATCATAAATTCAATGGGCACTTTTTAGTCCCATCTTCCTTTGACTTTCTGCAATGTTAGAAACAGATGAGATTCTATGAATGGGTTCACATGTTACTCCATAAAAGCAAAGATTTCTCGTTAGCCTTCAAGGTCTCACAGTAACTTGCGCTCCCCCTCCAACCTCCCCAGTT